CGCTATGGGGGAATGGTGGTGATTATTGGGGGGGGGGGGTCGTCTAAGGGCACAAGCGCTCCCACATTATGGAACACCTCATTTTACAATGGACTCCCATGGATCACACGCTATGGCGTTCTGTTTTCTTCCACGCAGCTGTTGGGAGGATAAGAAGAGGGAAACCTTGTGAAGAAGAAGGACGTTCTACGCCCAGGAGCTGTCATCACTTAATGCACATATCGGACATTTGATTTTTTTTTTTTTTAATACATATATTTCTACAAAGTGGACATTTGTGGGATGCACGGCTCCCAACCTACAGGGACCATCGAAGGGGTGCTTGCGACATCCCTCCTATCTACGTATATGAAAGGCTTTTAACCCCTAAATCTAATCCCACCAACCAGGTTCCCCATTATCTAGCACTAGATAGCATTCCATAAAAAAAAAACAAAAAAAAAAAAAAAAAAACAAAAACCTGACTGTCACTTCTGTGTCTGATTCCCATGTCGCTCCAACTGTGCGCGTTCAGTGTGTACATATATATATATGTGCATACGTATATATAATCCCACTATAATTTATTCAACTATATTAAGTAGTAGAGTAGTTATGATAAACCTGTACTTGTTTTATCCTTGTCCCTGCTGAAAGACGTCTGCAGCCCGCGTAAGACCTCCATGGCCGCGGCGAGGTGGACTACCTGCGCCTGTGTATGTTTCTTTGTGTACCTCAGGCATTGCTGTTATGAATTAAAAGAGATGGAACCTTGACTGACCGCCTCAATTTCTGTGCCTTCCCAACTCGGTGTGCCGAATTTCTACATACTGTTGATGTGTTGATCCCTGGTTCTAGCGCAGGGGTCTCCAAAGGTTCTAAGCAAAGGGCCAGCTGACTGTCCTTCAGGATTCAATGGTGTCATTTGGGGAAATAGTGCCCCAAGGGCCAGGTCAAGGCAAGCAAAGGGCCACATCTGGTCCCCGGGCTGCAGTTTGGAGACCACTGTTCTAGCAGATGAGATAAACTTCTAAACGTTGAGTAGAATGGAGGAGAAGTCTTCCAGTCTGTGAAATAGTCCCGGAGCACAGAAAAAAGTCTTTCTGAAATTGTCAGTTCTCACCTGCGGGTGGCGCTGCCTCAGCACAGGGGTCTCCAAATAGTCTTAAGCAAAGGGCCAGTTGACTGTCCTTCAGGATTCATTGGTCAGTTGGGGAAATAGTGCTCCAAGGGCCAGGTTAAGGCAAGCAAAGGGCCACATCTGGCCCCCGGGCCGCAGTTTGGAGACCACTGTTCTAGCAGATAAGAGAAACTCCAAAACATTGAGTAGAATGGAGGAGAAGTCTTCCAGGAGGAGGAATAGTGCCATGATGTTGGTATGAGTGGGAAGAATAGTGTCCCATTGATGTTCTCAGGAGAGGGAATTGTGCCCCTTCATTGGTGTCAGTTGGGGAAATAGTGCCCCAAGGGCCAGGTCAAGGCAAGCAAAGGGCCACATCTGGCACCCGGGCTGCAGTTTGGAGACCACTGTTCTAGCAGATGAGATAAACTTCAAAAAGGTTGAGTAGAATGGAGGAGAAGTCTTCCAGTCTGTGAAATAGTCCCGGAGCACAGAAAGACGTCAATGGAAAGTCTTTCTGAAATTGTCAGTTCTCACCTGCGGGTGGCGCTGGCTCAGCACACGAGTCTCCAAACTTTCTAAGCAAAGGGCCACATCTGGCCCCCGGGCCGTAGATTGGTGATCACTGTTCTAGCAGATAAGAGAAACTCCAAAACATTGAGTAGAATGGAGGAGAAGTCTTCCAGGAGGAGGAATAGTGCCATGATGTTGGTATGAGCAGGAAGAATAGTGCCCCATCGATGTTCTCAGGAGAGGGAATTGTGCCCCTTCATTGGTGTCAGTTGGGGAAATAGTGCCCCAAGGGCCAGGTCAAGGCAAGCATAAGGACCACATCTGGCCCCTGTGCCACAGTTTGGAGACCACTGTTCTAGCAGATGAGATAAACTTCTAAACGTTGAGTAGAATGGAGGAGAAGCCTTCCAGTCTGTGAAAGTCCCGGAGCACAGAAAAAAGTCTTTCTGAAATTGTCAGTTCTCACCTGCGGGTGGAGCTGGCTCAGCACAGGGGTCTCCAAACATTCTAAGCAAAGGGCCAATTGACTGTCCTTCAGGAATCATTGGTGTCAGTTGGGGAAATAGTGCCCAAGGGCCAGGTCAAGGTAATCAAAAGGCCACATCTGGCCCCCGGGCCGCAGTTTGGAGACCACTGTTCTAGCAGATGAAAGAAACTCCAAAACATTGAGTAGAATGGAGGGGAAGTCTTCCAGGAGGAGGAATAGTGCCATGTTGTTGGTATAAGTGGGAAGAATAGAGCCCCATTGATGTTCTCAGGAGAGGGAATTGTGCCCCATCATTGGTGTCAGTTGGGGAAATAGTGCCCCAAGGGCCAGGTCAAGGCAAGCAAAGGTGGCCCCTGGGCTGCAGTTTGGAGACCACTGTTCTAGCAGATGAGAGAGACTCCAAAACATTGAGTAGAATGGAGGAGAAGTCTTCCAGGAGGAGGAATAGTGCCATGTTGTTGGTATGAGCAGGAAGAATAGAGCCCCATTGATGTGCTCAGGACAGGGAATTGTGCCCCATCATTGGTGTCAGTTGGGGAAATAGTGCCCCAAGGGCCAGGTCAAGGCAAGCAAAGGTGGCCCCTGGGCTGCAGTTTGGAGACCACTGTTCTAGCAGATGAGAGAGACTCCAAAACATTGAGTAGAATGGAGGAGAAGTCTTCCAGGAGGAGGAATAGTGCCATGTTGTTGGTATGAGCAGGAAGAATAGAGCCCCATTGATGTGCTCAGGACAGGGAATTGTGCCCCTTCATTGGTGTCAGTTGGTAAAAAAGTGCCATAAGGGCCAGGTCAAGGCAAGCAAAGGGCCACATCTGGCCCCCGGGCTGCAGTTTGGAGACCACTGTTCTAGCAGATGAGAGAAACTCCAAAACGTTGAGTAGAATGGAGGAGAAGTCTTCCAGTCTGTGAAATAGTCCCGGAGCACAGAAAAAAGTCTTTCTGAAATTGTCAGTTCTCACCTGCGGGTGGCGCTGCCTCAGCACAGGGGTCTCCAAACGTTCTAAGCAAAGGGCCAGTTGACTGTCCTTCAGGATTCAGGGGGCCGGGCTTTGGTCAGTGGGAGTAGAAAATGCCCCATCATTTGTTTTAATGGAAGGAATAGTGCCATGATGTTGGTATAAGTGAGAAGAATAGAGCCCCATTGATGTTCTCAGGAGAGGGAATTGTGCCCCTTCATTGGTGTCAGTTGGGGAAATAGTGCCCCAAGGGCCAGGACGAGGCAAGCAAAGGGTCACATCTGGCCCCGGGCTGCAGTTTGGAGACCACTGTTCTAGCAGATGAGAGAGACTCCAAAACGTTGAGTAGAATGGAGGGGAAGTCTTCCAGTCTGTGAAATAGTCCCGGAGCACAGAAAGGCGTCAATGGAAAGTCTTTCTGAAATTGTCAGTTCTCACCTGCGGGTGGCGCTGCCTCTTGTCCTAATGTTAAGTATCCACCACTGACTCCAATGACTTGGTGGCTATTCTTCCCGAGGCCACAATTATTTGGGAGTTATTCTCTCATGGGGGCCCTTATCCCACTGATACCAATGATCATGGGGGCCCTTATCCCACTGATACCAATGACCATGGGGGCCCTTATCCCACTGATACCAATGACCATGGGGGCCCTTATCCCAATGACAGCAATGACCATGAGGGCCCTTATCCCACTGACGCCAATGACCATGGGGGCCCTTATCCCAATGACAGCCAATGACCATGGGGGCCCTTATCCCAATGACAGCAATGACCATGGGGGCCCTTATCCCACTGACAGCAATGACCATGGGGCCCTTATCCCACTGACGCCAATGACCATGGGGGCCCTTATCCCACTGACGCCAATGACCATGGGGGCCCTTATCCCACTGACGCCAATGACCATGGGGGCCCTTATCCCACTGACGCCAATGACCATGTGGGCCCTTATACCACTGACGCCAATGACCATGTGGGCCCTTATCCCACTGACGCCAATGACCATGGGGGCCCTTATCCCACTGACACCAATGACCATGGGGGCCCTTATCCCACTGACGCCAATGACCATGGGGGCCCTTATCCCACTGACGCCAATGACCATGGGGGCCCTTATCCCACTGACGCCAATGATCATGGGGGCCCTTATCCCACTGACGCCAATGACCATGGGGGCCCTTATCCCACTGACGCCAAAGACCATGGGGGCCCTTATCCCACTGACGCCAATGACCATGGGGGCCCTTATCCCACTGACGCCAATGACCATGGGGGCCCTTATCCCACTGAAGCCAATGATTTGGACGGCTATTTGCCCTGGGGGCCACTATCACACTGACACCATTGAATTGGGGATTCTTCCTTTCAGGCCACAATCCCACCGACACTGATGACTTGTGGGCTATTCCTCCATGGGGGGCCACAATCCCACTGACGACTTGTGGGCTATTCCTCCATGGGGGCCACAATCCCACTGACACCGATGACTTGTGGGTTATTCCTCCATGGGGGGCTATGATCCTACTGCCATCAATAATGTGATCATGATTTGATGGTTGATGATTTTTCCTGTTAGGGCAACAATTCCACTGACACCATTGAATTGAGGGGCTATTCTTTTCCTTGGGGCCACAATCCCTATGATACCAAATATTTAACAGCTGTACTTCCCTGGGGCCACTATCTACCCGACACCACTGAATTGGGGATTCTTCCTTGGGGGCCATTATACCAGAGACCCCAAAGATTTGGGGACTACTCTCCCCTGAGGATGAGTATCCCACTGACACCAATAAACTGAAGAGATATTCTCCACTGTGTGCCAGTATGTCACTTATACCAATGAACTGAGGGGCCACTATACTACTGACACCCATGAAATGAAGAGCTATTCTCCCCTGGGGGCCAGGATCCCATTGACACCAATAAACTAAGGAGCTAGTGTACCGGCTCCTCCCCTTCAGTCTTGCACAGGTGTACCGGCTCCTCCCCTTCAGTCTGGCACAGGTGTACCGTCTCCTCCCCTTCAGTCTTGCACAGGTGTAGCGGCTCCTCCCCTTTAGTCTGGCACAGGTGTACCGGCTCCTCCCCTTCAGTCTGGCACAGGTGTACCGGCTCCTCCCCTCCAGTCTTGCACAGGTGTACCGGCTCCTCCCCTTCAGTCTTGCACAGGTGTAGCGGCTCCTCCCCTCCAGTCCGACACAGGTGTACCGGTTCCTCCCCTCCAGTCTGGCACAGGTGTGCCGGCTCCTCCCCTCCAGTCTGGCACAGGTGTGTCAGCTCCTCCCCTCCAGTCTGGCACAGGTGTGTTGGCTCCTCGCCCTCAGTCTTCCTCTGATGTCACTGCACGCTGGGAGCTTCTCACAATGTGCATTAAAAGCTGCAGCCAGTCAGATAGAGCTCCGCCTCCTTTCGTGGCTGGAGGACATCCAGCATCATCTAGCTCTTTCTTCCCCAGCCTGACCGTCTCTAGCCCCACCCCTTTAATTCATTGGTTTTCAGTTCTCTCATTCATGGAGGCTCAGAAACAGATGTGGGTGTGACCTAGGGTTATCTATATGCAAATGCTGCCTACCTAGAAACGCCCACTTCCTCAGACTGTCCTATCAAAGCATTTTGATATTTGCATATCTCCTCCCACTGCTTGCATCAGGACTGAGGGCTCTTGAGAGGAGTACTGAGGCTGTGATGTTTTCAGGAAGTACACAGGGGAGACGTACAGCACCCAGCTGGTCCCCCCCCACCAGCCATGATCTGCATGTATTGCATAGAGAAGCACAGAGATCCAGTGATGACATCCTTCTGCTGCTAGCTTTAGTAAATAGATAGGAAGGCAGAATTAGATTTACTTGTTTTATTTTTTTTTTTTACATTTCTTCAGTTACTTCCTGGTTTCTGGCCTAGGTCAAAATGATGTCATCCATCCCAGCAGTCTTTATGGGAGGAGGGCTTACCACCTGCCTGCCTGAACTAAGGGCAGATGGATTCCAGGAGGTAAATGCTACATGAAGCATCTGCCCTTATTCAAGAGGCCAGAAATGCTGGGGGGGGGGGGGGGGGTCAAAGTGATTTCTCAATAAAATAAAGCATTGAGACCTGGATGGATGGGTGGATGGATGGATGGAAGGATGGATGGAAGGATGGATGGATGGGAAGGATGGATGGACGGATGGATGGATGGACGGATGGAAGAATGGATGGATGGACGGATGGATGGATGGACGGACGGACGGATGGACTGACGGACGGATGGATGGATGTATGGATGAATGGATGGATGGACGGACGGGGGAGATTGATTCAAAATTAATGAATTAAATAGCGTTTTTAGTTTGTAGTGTCTTTATACCTGAACCTAGGGAGGTTAGACCTAAAGGGGCGGTACTAAAAGGTGAAAGGTCATTCAGTCTCTCAAAACCCCTCCCACTGACCTGTGTACTATTAATGGTTGGGGCCCGTGGTTCCTGCATTGGAGAACTCAGGTTTAGGTGGATCCCCCGGCATAGGGTCAAACTGGATCCCAAGGAAACTGTCCCTTTAAGAAGAGGGTAAAGACAGTTGTGGCCGGCGGCCTCTCACCGCCATGCACTCGGTAATTAGGCTCCTCCCCCTTTCTGTGTCCAGAACCAGACAAAACGTATGATGAATCTTCCAAATCAAATCGTCCAATTAGGTTAGAGATATGCCATATGCATTGGAGCACTCAGGTTTAGGTGGATCCCTTGGTATAGGGTCTACATACTCAAACTGGATCCCAAGGAAACTGTCCCTTTAAGAAGTGGGTAAGGCAGTTGTAGCCGGTGGGCCTCTCACCGCCATGCACTCATTAATTAGGCTCCTCCCCCTTTCTGCATTCAGAACAGACAAAACGTATGGGACCAGCTGTAGTTGACCCTTATCCCGCGGCCAGTGAATCATCCCATTAGGTTCAGGATATGCCTCTTGTAGAGCTATGCCCATTTTAAACGAATGCCCCGCCTCTAAATAAAGAACATGCCCCGCCTACATTGGCTTGCCGGAAGCACAGCATAAAAGGGGCCCCTTGAAATTTTTTTTTATACATGTTGGCAACTATGGAAGTCTTGTGATGGAAAATCACGTTTTGGTTTTTCCTGGCGCCAATCCAGTGCCAGGACAAGGTCATCCAGCGCCCAGAACAAAGGTGTTAAACTGCGCCCCTCCCCCCAGTCATGATGCGCAAGGGGGGGGTCCTACACCAGGCAGTCAAAATCACCGCCGCGGTCACTACTCCTCGGAATAATAGAAAAGAAGGAGCTCGCGATGTCCAGGAGAACGCACTTTTGATGGTAGATTAGGAGGCATTTATTGAGAGGAACGACAGGCCAGCGCGTTTCGGGAGAACGGACCCGCCCTTCTTCAGGGCTTCTTCAGCCAATTGCTGCCCCTGGAAGGACAGCGGTCATTTTATTCCTCTGAAATCT